GCAGATGTGTGCATGTGAATTAGAAACCCATTAGACAAAAGTATCCACAGTGCAGGAGAGGTAAGTAAAGGTGATAGGTTAGAAAAACAAAATAAACCCTGTAGCAACTGTCTGTTAGTTTAGAAAGTTCTATATTACCTTGTAACAAAGAAACTTGTGTACTCTTGAGCTGTGGCTGGCTGCTTGCTCCTTTAAAATCTCACAGCCCCTGAGATTGATGTTTATCTGAGCAATAAATTGTTCTTAGCCCAAAAATAGCCCCATCTTTTCATTAAAAGCAGCGACAGTAACAGCTGGGAATAACCTGTGCGGATGCCCTGGCTCTTCCTCCCCATCCCCATCCTCACCTGAGCCCTCTCTGCTCCACAGCCCATCCGTGGGGTTCCTGCAGCCTCCTGGCTCCGAGCAGTACCAGATGCCGCAGTCCCCGGCGCCCTGCAGCCCCCCCCAGATGCAGCAGCAGTATTCAGGTACCAGGGGCAGGGCTGGCATCCTCTCCACAGGTGGGATCAGCCTTGGGATCCCGGGCTGTGGAGCTGCCACTTCACAGCCAAGTCTGGCAGCTTCTGTGCAAGGGGATTCCTCCTGCTGGGAATCCCCCAGGGAACGATCAGGGTGTTGCACTGGCATTCCTCGTGGCTGGCAGGGAGATGCCCGGGTGGGCAGCGGGGCGGAGGGAGCTGGGTGGGCTGTGGGTTGGAGAGAGAGGGAAGAACTGCAGATGGGGAGGCTGGGGATTCCTGCTCCCTGTCACAGCTGCTGGGAGTGAGCTGGTGCAGAAGCTGAGCTGGGATGATGGAGTTCTGTACCTGGATCCGTGCTTGGAGCCTTTGCCTGGAGTTTTGTGGAGATGCTCAGAGCAGTCACTGAGCTGCCACCCCTCAGCTTGGCCCCTGTGCTCCTGTTTCTCCTGGATTAAACATCATCACTCCCAGATGGAACCTTTGCTATTAGAGAGGAATCCCCAGAGGGTCCTGGTGGGGTTTTTCCAGCCTGGAAAAGTCACGAGTGGCAGAGGAGAGGGTCCAGAGTGGGACTGTGGGGAAGGGCGTGCAGGAGCAGGGACAGGCAGGTGCCCTGTGTCCCACAGCAGCAGAGCCTGGGCCATACACGCCTGTGTCTGTCCCCAGGGGTGTCCCCGTCAGGCCCTGGTGTGGTGGTGATGCAGCTGAATGTCCCCAACGGCCCTCAGGCCCCCCAAAACCCCCCCGTGGTGCAGTGGAGCCACTGTAAGTACTACAGCCTGGAGCAGCGGGGGCAGAAGCCAGGAGACCTCTACAACCCCGACACCAGTGCTCAGGTACTGGGGGGACTGGGAGAGGGCAGCTCAGCCTCGGGGGTGATGGCTGGGGGGGCACCCCACGGGGTCACGGTGGCTGTGGGAGCGGTCACAAGCACTGGGGGTGTCTGACACTGTCCCTCCCCCAGGCCAGCACCCAGCTGAACAGCCCCATCACGTCCCCCACCCAGTCCCCGACGCCGTCGCCCGTCACCAACCTCAACAGTGTGTGCACGGGGCTGAGCCCCCTCCCCGTCCTCACACAGTTCCCCCGGCCCATGGGCCCGGCACAAGGTAAGGGGAAGGCGTGTGGGCACAGCCCAGGGCTGGGAATGCTGTGATGTTCCCCGGGATCCCCACAAACTCGGGTTCTTTGTGCAGGCGATGGGAGGTACTCACTGCTGGGCCAACCTCTGCAGTACAACCTGTCCCTGTGTCCCCCGCCGCTGCTCCACAACCAGCCCAGCTACACAGGACACCAGGTACAGCCAGGCCAGGCCTCCCTTCCCCAGCCCCTCTGCGGGCACCGTGGAGCCACAATGTCCCCTGAGGTGACACGGTGCCCTTCTTCTCCTCCAAGGGGCAGACTGGAATGAAACACGGCAACCGGAGCAAGAGACAGGCCCTGAAGTCAGCGTCCACCGACCTGGGGACAAGTGACGTAGGCAAGTGACCCCCTCGAGCCTCTTTGCCCTCTGATGTCCCCACTCCAGGTGCCATCCCTGTCCACACCAGCATCCCACAGAACCCTGTACTGGTTTTGGGGAGTGGTTCCTGCCAGTCCCTTCTCCCCACACCCACAAACACCCCCCAGCCCAGGTGAGTCCAGGCTGGGGGTGCAGCAGATCCAGCCCCAGGCCGCTGTGCCCTGAGGGAGGTGGGTGAACAGGGAGTAAAAGCCCTGAGGAGGACACCTGGGAGCTATTCCTGCCTCTCAGAGGATGGAAATGATGGAGCTGGCAGAGCTGGGATTTTATTCCTCATCAGCAGAAAGTGAGTGTCCAGACTCCGAGATCTCATTCCCACCACTGCTTTCCCAAGTCGCTCTTCCCACCCGTGCTTCCCTTTCCATGGGGCCTGCAGCTTCAGAGCCTCATCTTTGAGATTCGGGCTCTGCACTGGGTCCTTGGGAAGGGAAGGACCCACAGCTTGGACGGAGCAGCCCTCAGTGACCCTCTGGAGACCTCAGGCTTGTCCCCCATGTCACCTCAGTGCCACCAGCAGCAGCTGCTTGCAGGGGCTCTTTAAGAGCTGCCTGCCCCCTCCTGCCCCTGGCATGGTCCGTACGTGCCACGTTAATATTAGCAAAGAATCCCTCCAGAGCTCCGCTAAGCCCAGAGCCAGGGCTGGAGCCAGGAGCTGCACAGGGATTTGGGCACCACCAGGGCAGGAGCTGCACGGGGATTTGGGCACCACGGGGCAGGAGCTGCACAGGGATTTGGGCACCACGGGGCTGGGGCTGCACAGGGATTTGGGCACCACAGGGCAAGGGTCAGGAGCTGCACAGGGATTTGGGCACCACCAGGGCAGGAGCTGCACGGGGATTTGGGCACCACGGGGCAGGAGCTGCACAGGGATTTGGGCACCACGGCGCAGGGGCTGGAGCTGCACAGGGATTTGGGCACCACAGGACAGGGGCTGGAGCTGCACAGGGATTTGGGCACCACAGGGCTGGAGCCAGGAGCTGCACAGGGATTTGGGCACCACGGGGCTGGGGCTGGAGCTGCAGAGGGATTTGGGCACCACGGGGCAGAACTGGAGCTGCAGAGGGATTTGGGCACCACGGGGCTGGGGTCAGGAGCTGCAGAGGGATTTGGGCACCACAGGGCAAGGGTCAGGAGCTGCACAGGGATTTGGGCACCACAGGGCAAGGGTCAGGAGCTGCACAGGGATTTGGGCACCACAGGGCTGGGGTCAGGAGCTGCACAGGGATTTGGGCACCACAGGGCAGGACACACCCTGGCTGGTGACACCGGGACCTGGCCGGTGACACCGGGGCCTGGCCAGTGACACCAGGACCTGGCCGGTGACACTGGGACATGGCTGGTGACACGGGGACCTGGCTGGTGACACCGGGACCTGGCCGGTGACACCGGGACCTGGCCAGTGACACCAGGGCCTGGCCAGTGACATGTGGCTCCTTCCCTGCAGTGCTGGGCCGGGTGCTGGAGGTGACGGACCTGCCCGAGGGCATCACACGGACAGAGGCGGACAAGCTCTTCACCCAGCTGGCCATGGCGGGTGCCAAGATCCAGTGGCTCAAAGAGACTCAGGGGCGGCGCGGGGACGGTGGCGGCGGCGGCGGGGACAGCGGCGGGACTCCGGAGAACGGCAGGCACGGTGACCTCGCTGCCTTATACACCATCGTGGCCGTGTTCCCCAGCCCGCTGGCGGCCCAGAACGCCTCCCTGCGCCTCAACAACTCCCTCAGCCGCTTCAAACTGCGCGTGGCCAAAAAGAACTACGACCTGCGGGTGCTGGAGCGGGCGAGCTCCCAGTAGGGCTCCCCTGGGCACCGGGCACTCCCCTGGGCCACTTCTCCTCCCGCCCTCCCTTCCTCTCGCCCTCCTTCCTTGATATATTTATATGAACATAATTAAGAGACGAGAAGTTGATTTTTTTTTTTTTAATTATTATTTTTTGGAGTGACGCCCGTGCCCGCCCCCCTCCCCTGTGTCTATGGTTTTGTTTAAGCACTGTGTTGGACCGCACATACAGGTGTTGATTGGTATGTTCACTGCACATTTTATTTAATCGGATTATTATTTTGTGGGGTGGGGGGGGGGAGGATTTTTTTTTTGTTTAATTTTATTTGGGGGGGTTGTTTTTAAATAAAAAAGAAAAAAAGGAAAATCGTCCATCACTTGAACGTAACTTCCCGTTCTCTGCCAGGGCTGGGGGCTCTGTGCTGCCTCAGTGGGGTGAGGGGACAGCAAAGGGACGTGGCAGGGGGACGATCCTGCCCAGTCCTGCCCCTGAGCTTGGCATGTCCGAGGGCTGCAAGCCCGTGGTGTGCCAACGCAGGGATCCCAGGCTGGCATCCCCTGACAGATGTTCATGGCCTCTTCTCCCAGCTGCCAGCTCCATCCAGCTGTGGAATTCGGGGCAGGAATGAGGGCATGGAGTGGCCCCAGCTGTGTGCCCTGCCAGGAAACATCACAGGAGCAGCACCCGGAGCTGGGATTTGGGGTGGCACAGCCAGAGCCTCTGGCAGTGGCGGGATGCTCCCAACCTTCCTGAGCAGGTGCAGCCGCACAGGTGAGAGCTGCCAGGAAAAGGGGGGCTCCAAGGCCGGGCTGGTCCCAACTCCCACCTCGCTGCCACCCACAGCCAGACCTCAGGGCCCTCGCCGTGCCCATTAACTCCCTGGGTGGCATCCCAGCTCCTGCCATCCCAGCGGAGCCTGGACCAGCAGGATTTGGTGCCAGGGGGTGCGAAGCCACCGCTCCACCCCGTGCCAGACCCCACTGCCACTGAGCCCTCAGCAGCCTCCAGGGCACGAGTGAAAGAGACGCTGAAGTGGAGCCTTCGGTGTGCCCAGCTGCCGGAACCCTCAGTGTGCCCAGCTCCCGGAGCCCTCAGTGTGCCCAGCTCCCGGAGCCCTCAGTGTGCCCAGCTCCCGGAGCCCTGGCTGTGCCCAGCTCCCGGAGCCCTGCCTGTGCCCGGTTCCTTCTTTGTCCCAGGCCAGGCTGGGGGGGCCCCTGGCACGCCCAGCAACCCACCAACGCAAATAGCCGGTGGCTCCTCCGCCTGCTCCAATTTCCCGGCGTCAGCCCCGCCACCGCTCAGCTGTCGTCCCCCCAGCGCTGTCACTCCGCTGGCCCCGGGACCGGCGCGGCCGCCGCCCGCCACCGAGGCCCGGGGGCTCTGCGGCCAACGCGGCTCCGCCACCGCCGCCCTTCGGGGACTTGTTCAGCGCGGGGCGAGAGCGCCAAGCTCAGGGTAAGTGCCCCCCTGTGTGCCCCTCTTGCCGCGGCCGTGCCCACCCTGGGCCCCCCCGCTGCTGCAGGGCCTCGGGGTGCCCCATTCCCGCAGTGCCCCTCGCCCCAGCGCTCCCCTTGCTGCTGCCTGATGGTTCTCCTGGCTGCTTTCCAGGGGGCTGGAGGGGCTCGGGAGGTGGGCATCACCAAAAATAGGGAGGTCTGGGTGGGAGGGCTGACAAAGGTGGCACCGGGATGGTTTGGGGGATGCAGGAGCAGGTCCTGCCCCGGTGGCAGCCGAAAGCCATCGGTGCCCATCGGTGCCCATCGGTGCCCGTCGGTGCCCGTCGGTGCCCGTCGGTGCCCGTCGGTGTCCCCCGTGTGCCCGTCTGAGGGGCCGAGAGTGGCGCAGTTTGCGGTTTCGCGGTGAGATGGAGATGCCCAGGCTAAGGTGGGCACCTGCAGGTAGCCCAGGGCCTGGCTCACAGCGCCTGGCACCGCGTCCCTGAGCCAGCGGATGTGCCACGCTCTGGGCCGGGCACCGGCCTGGCCCTGGGGCTCACCGAGGCAGAACCAGCCCTGGGTGGGGCAGGGGCTGCAGGATGGGCAGCGGGAGTGAGCCCTGGCAGGACAGGAGCTGCTGGACGGGCAGGGGAAGGGGTGGCACTGCCCACCCAGCAGGGTCTGACCACTTCATCCCCTGCCGGGCTCCTGCAGCTGGAACTGCCCCAGCCAGCGCCATCTCTGCTCTTCCCCTTGCAGCATGACGGAGAAGGAAGTGCCAGAGCCGCCGGCTTCACCTGCTTCAGGTGGGAAACCCAAGAGCCGGGTAAGTGGGTGCCCACAGGGCGGTTTGGGTGGGTGGGGGACGCCCCCTCTCTATCATCAGCCCCAGGAGGCTGTGGGAGGCCTGGGGTGCCTGGTGGGACCCTGATCCAGCCGGGTGTCGGGTGGGCATTTCCCAGCTTGGCATTTCCCTGGCACACCCACATCCGTGAGGGGCTCAGGAACCGCAGCTTCCTCTTCTGCGGAGACTTCACGGGACTGGGAGGAGGCTCCTCATCTCCAGAGGAGGGTCACCGGGGCGAGGAGCTGGGGGTGTGCCCTCCTGCCTCCCCCACGCTGCCACACACCGCCCGTCCCCTCCTGCCCCAGCAGCTGCAGAAGCTGAAGCAACTTTTCCAGCGAAAGGCCAAGGAGGAGCCGGCCCCGGAGCCGCAGCCCAACGGGGAGCTGGTCAGCCCCTCGGGGGGACCCATCTTCTACATCTATGAGGATGAGGAAGAGGAGGAAGAGGAGGAGGAGCCCGAGCCCCCTCCCGAACCCGAGAAACTTGTTAATGACAAACCCCACAAGTTCAAAGACCATTACTTCAAAAAGCCCAAATTCTGCGATGTTTGTGCCCGCATGATCGTCCGTGAGTCCTGAGGGGGCTGGGGGCTGCGGCTGGGGCTGGGGGCTGCGGCTGGGGCTGGGGGCTGCGGCTGGGGCTGGGGGCTGCGGCTGGGGCTGGGGCTGGGGACTGCGGCTGGGGCTGGGGGCCAAGGCTGGGGCTGGGGGCTGCGGCTGGGGCTGGGGGCCAAGGCTGGGGCTGGGGGCTGGGGCTGGGGCTGGGGGCTGGGGCTGGGGGCCAAGGCTGGGGCTGGGGGCCAAGGCTGGGGCTGGGGCTGGGGGCTGCGGCTGGGGCTGGGGGCCAAGGCTGGGGCTGGGGGCTGGGGCTGGGGGCCAAGGCTGGGGCTGGGGGCCAAGGCTGGGGCTGGGGGCCAAGGCCGCGCAGGGCTCTGTCCCGGCCGTTTCACAGCTGCAGTGTCACATTCCCTCTCCTTTCCACCCCCCCACTGCCAGTCAACAACAAATTTGGCCTGAGGTGCAAGAACTGCAAAACCAACATCCACCACCACTGCCAGTCCTACGTGGAGATGCAGCGCTGCTTCGGCAAGATCGTGAGTGCCACCCCCGGCAGTGCCACCTCGGGCCCTGCGGGCGGGACGCGGGTGCCACCACCCCTGTCCCTTCCTGGCTCTGAGGGGGGACCCCGGTATCTCCCTCTGGGGTCCCCCAGCTGTGACAGGCGGGCCGGGGGTGGCTGATGCTGCGACCCCCGCTCTGTCCTGCAGCCGCCCGGGTTCCGGCGGGCGTACAGCTCCCCCCTGTACAGCGACCAGCAGCTCGGTGGCACCAAGGAGCAGCTGGGTGAGTGCCCGTGCTGGGGTGCCCCGTGCCCTTGGCACCCAGCCTGGGCTGTCCCAACCCCTCCTGTCCCCACCCCGCAGCCAACAGGAGCGACCCCGTGTTCGAGACGCTGCGGACGGGCGTCATCATGGCCAACAAGGAGCGCAAGAAGGGGCAGGAGGACAAGAAGAACGTGAGTGGGGGGTCGGGCTCTCACCAGGTTCCTGCTGGTGCGCCCCACGAACCCTCCAGCCCCCCCAATTCTGCACCTCCTGAGAGCTCCCTCTGCCTTCCAGCCCTTGGCTGCGATGATGGACGAGGAGCCGGAGGCCACGAAGCCGGTGGGGAGCAAAGCTGAGGGTGGTGAGCGCGGGGCCGAGGGTTGGGGGGCTGAGCCCATGCGGACACGGAGGGAGCCCCTGGCTGTGTTTGGGGGGGTTTGCCCTGCGGAAAGAGGGTCCCCAGTTCATGTCCTCACCCTGGGGTTCTCACTACACCCCCACGTTGGCTGAGGAGACCCTCGGGAGGCATCACCGGGAGAGGTGTGACCCCTCCTCCTGCTCCCAGGTGCCTCCGAAGGGGACAAGAAGGCCGAGAAGAGCACGACAGATGACAAGGTACCCCTCATCCTTGAGCAGAGCTTGTGGGATCCCCCTGCTGGGATCCTCAGGGCTGTCTGCAGCCCCTGGGGACTGCAAACCCCACTGTGTCCCCCAGAGCAAGAAGCCACAGCCAGGGGGGTTCCTGCAGTCCCACTATTTCGTGGCACTGTATCGCTTCAAAGCCCTGGAGAAGGACGACCTGGACTTCCCGTGAGTTCCCAACCTCGTCCCGAGCTCTTTCCCGAGGTTTTTTTGGGGTTTGGCTCCATGTGGTTCCGTGGATTTCTGGGCAGGACCTGCCTGTCCCTGAGCCCGTGGGCTGCGTGTCCCATGTCACATATGGGGCTGGAGGAGCTGATTCTGAAGGAAAAGCGATTTTCCTTGGGGTCTCCCATGGCTGGGGGTCCTGCCCCCCTCAGAGAGCCCCTCCTTCCCTTCCAGGCCGGGGGAGAAGATCACGGTGGTGGATGACTCCAACGAGGAGTGGTGGCGGGTGAGGCCGGAGTGCGGCTGGGAAAGCTCCGGGCACTGCAGGAGGGGACACCCAGACCTGCTGTCAGCCCCAGCCTCGCTGGGAGGGGGGATCTGCGACCCCCTGATCGGCCCCAACCCCTCCTTTCACTCCCCCCCCACCTCCTTCAGGGGAAGATCGGTGAGAAAATCGGGTATTTCCCCCCCAACTTCATCATCCGGGTGCGAGCAGGCGAGCGGGTGCACAAAGTGACGCGTTCCTTCGTGGGCAACCGGGAGATCGGGCAGATCACGCTCAAGAAGGATCAGGTGAGACGGGACCCCCAACACTCCCCCATCACCACCCGGGGACCCCCAGCCCCCCTCCAAGCCCCCCATCATAGCTGCACCCCATAACCGGCATCACCGTCCCCCCACTTCCCACCTCCCCCAGCCCCTGGGATGAGATCTGCTCTGCCCCGACCCCCCACATCTGGGGCTCCCCATGATCTGGGGGGTCTCCCGCTACTCTGGGGGGGTCCCGGGGGTCTCACCCGGGCCCGTCTCGCCCGCAGATCGTGGTGCAGAAGGGGGAGGAGGTGAACGGTTACGTCAAAGTCTTCACCGGCCGCAAAGTGGGGCTGTTCCCTGTGGACTTCCTGGAGGAGATCTGAGGGGGGCTGCGGGGTGGGGACCCCCGGGATGGGGGCACAGAGACCCCCGGGATGGGGGCACAGAGACCCCCGGGATGGGGGCACAGAGACCCCCGGGATGGGGCGGACAGACTCTGGCTGCGGGGTGGGGATGGGACGGGGGGACCCTCGGGGTGGGGAACGGAAGGACCCCGGGATTGGGATGGGGATGGGGGGCCCTGGCTGCGGGACAGGTTTGGGGTCAGGGAGGGGCACCCCCGTTCCTGCTGCCTCCAGCAATGGGGTCCCTGGGGTGTCCCTGGGGGCTGTTGTCCCCCCCAGCACCGGGGCAGGATGTGGGGACAGGAGGTGCCCCCAAATTGGGAGGTTTTGGTGCCCCCAGAGACGCTGGATGCAACAGGGCGCACCCCCAGACCCGCTAGGAGCCCCCCCGGAGCGAGTGGGGGAACAGTGGGTGCCGCGGGGAGGGTCGGGGGGTCCTGCCCCGCTGCTCCCGGTGCTCCCGGTGCTCCCGGTGCTCCCGGTGCTCCCGGTGCTCCCGGGTTTTGGCAATACACGGCTGTGCCCACGTCCCACTCTCCAGTGTGGATTTAATGGGGTGGCGACACTGGGGGGTCCCTGTGGGGGCATCGAGGACCCCTTGGGGGGTGCCACTGTTGGGGTGACAGTGCCCGGCGTGGGGGGACCCCTGGGAGCGGGGCGGAGGGGGGTGTCACTGGTCACTGTGGGGGTGCCGGTGGCCCCCATGGAGGGGTCACTGGTCACTGTGGGGGTGCCGGTGGCCCCCATGAAGGGGTCAGTGGTCATTGTGGGGCTGCCGGTGGCCCCCATGGAGGGGTCACTGGTCACTGTGGGGGTGCCGGTGGCCACCAGGGGAGGGGTCACAGGTCACTGTGGGGGTGCCGGTGGCCCCCGGCGGGGCTCAGCCGGGCACGGGCGGTGGGAGGGGAGGGGAGGGGAAGGGGCGGAACCGGGACCCCCCCGGCCGGTCCCTCGGCGCTGGCGCGGGGCCCGGCGGGGCCCGAATAGGGGCGGCGGGCGACAGGTGACGGTGGCGGGGCCAGGACGGGACCTTGGAGCGCGGCGGGGGCGGGCGCGGAGCCACCGACAGCTGTCCGTGACGTCACGGCCCCGTGACGTCAGCGGTAACCACGGCGACGGGTGGGCGGGGCCTGCAGTGTGGGCGTGGCCGGGATTTCCCCGCCTCCGCCGCCAGGGGGCGCTGCCGACACGCCGCGCGGTGCGGCCGTATGCAAATGAACGCAAATGTATGCAAATGAGGCGGAGAGGCAGCGGCGCCCCCTGGCGGGCGGTTCTTGGGGCACCCCCCGGTACCGGTACCGGGGACGGAATCGGGGGGAAGGGGGAACGGGGAGGGGGGCGTGCCGTGCTCCCCCCGCACTCCGTGGGGCCGGGGATGCTGAGGGGGTTATGGGGGGCACAGGGGAACCCCGGGGGGGAGGGAAGCAGGTGTGTGACCCCCCCAGCCCGGGGGTCTCCCCCCATTCGCAGCACCCCGAGTAGCGGAGCTGCTGCTCCGGGAATGATGGAAATGAGGGGGGGGGGCAGTCCTCGGGACTGGGCCTGACCTCCCTCCCTCCCTCCTCCCCCCTTCTCCTCCTGTCACACAGCTTTAAATGCCGAACCATTAAAATTTTCCACCTCATTTGCGGCTCCTCACACGGTTAATTTTCCCGGGATTGTCTATTTATTTATTTGCGGAGCCCTGCGGGAGGGGGGAAAGGCGGGGGGGGGCGGGAGCAGCTGATTTGCTGCATCTGGGCGGTGGGGAGGGAAAGGGGGGAACCACCCTGGGAAGGGGGGAGGGCTCTGGCTAATTTAACAGCCGAAGAGAACAACTTAATTAGAGTCAGCTGGAAAATTGGGTAAAGCACCTTCTCTCAGCCTCCCACCCCCCAGCCCCCTTCCCTGCCGGCTCCTGGTGGGATGCCAGGGTGGGATGGGTTTGGGATGCATTTTCGGATGGATTTTGGGATGTGTTTTGAGCGGGAGGGAGAGCTGGCCCCAGCCAAGCGGCTGCCCTTCATTAGAGCCAGGAGCTAATTGGATTGATCAGCAGTTAATAGGGTGCAATTAAGAGGTGCATCCCCCTCCTCACATCCCAGCTCCCGCTGCTTCCCGAGTGGATGTGGGGGGCAGCCAAAGGTGGGCTGAGGAGAGGGGTGCGATGGGATTTTGCACCCCCCAAATTATGGCTGTTGAGCACTTTAGGGTTTGGGTTTTTTTTCCTCTTTTCGCGTGGTTTTCCCAGTCCTGGTTGTGACCTGGCTGTCCCCTCCCGGCGCGGGGACGTTCGGCATCTCCCCGCTCCCCATCCCACCGCATGGAACACACGGGGGGCGGCTGGAGGAGCCCCCCCTGACCTCCCCATCAATCACCTCCACTTCGCACCCCACCAAAGGTCAGGAGCCTGCGGGGCCCCGGAATTCATCGAAATCCCATGGGTGTCGTGCCAGATCCATCCATCATCCCAGGGGAGCAGCTCCCCCCGGGGGACGCGAGGGTGGGGACACCCCGTCCTGCACCCCCTCCCCTCCTGAACCCCCTCCTGCACCCCCTCCCGTCCCGCACCCCCTTTCCGGGCCGCACGGAGGACGGGGAGCAGCAGATGCAGCGCTCGGAGCTTGTTCTCCATCTCCAGGCAGGGAAATAAATGGATTAAAGTAAACTAAAGCGTCTGCGCTCCCCACCTGCCCCCCCGGCCATAAATCAGCATAAATGCAATCTCCATATTCATGGTATTTATCCAATAACTGTCCTGTCCCAGATTAAACGCGCCCCGGGGAGCGCCGGGGCTCCTTATCTGTGGCGGGGGGCTCTGCCGGGGAGGGGCGGCTCTGCCGGGGGGCTGGGGTGGGGGGTTCTGCTCCTCATCCTCCTTCTGAGGGGCTGGAGAAGGGTGGGATCCTCTCCTCATCCTCTTCCTGAGGGGCTGGAGAAGGGTGGGATCCTCTTCCCGAGGGGCTGGGGGAGTTCTGCTCCTCATCCCCTTCCTGAGGGGCTGGAGAAGGGTGGGATCCTCTCCTCATCCTCTTCCCGAGGGGCTGGAGCAGGGAGTTGGGGGCTTCTGCTCCTCATCCTCCTCTGCTCTCGGCCCCGGCGCTCCTGTCCATCCTTTTCCCTTTCCCCGCTCCTTTTTCCCTTTCTCCCCTTCCCTTTCTGTTCCTTCCCCTGTCTCCTTCCTCTTCCTCTCCCCCAGCGCTGCCGTGGAGCCTCGGGACCCCCGCAGACCCCCCTGCTCCCCTCCCCATCCCCGGGCAGGGCCGGGGTCCCTTCGTGCTCCGGTCCCGGGGGGGACCCACGAACCGGCGGTGCCGCTCGGGGTGGGGGGACACAGCTGTCCCCAGTGGCTGCCCCCAGCCCGGGGGACACCCACGCCACGTCTCGCACGGTGACAGGTCCCTGTCAGCCCTAATGACCCGAGTCCGGCAGGGCCCCGGGGCTCGGAGCTCATTAGGGCCGATTTAATGAGGGCGCAGCAGCCGCTGCCGCTGGCTGTTCGCCACTGCCGGGGACCACGGGCGGTCCCCCCCACAGCACGAGTCCCTCAGAGCCCCCCAAAATCCCCGCAGCCCCCCCACATCCCTCACAGACCCCCCCCGGCCCGTTCTCTCTGCCCCCGGCTGCTCTGGGGGGATGGAGCAGTGCCCCCCCCCTGCCCCCCGAGACTGCTCCAGCCCCTGGGGGGGACACAGAGAGGAGTTTTGGGGGTTCTTGGGCTGTGGGTTAGGGTGAGAGGCACCGGGAAAGGCAAATTTGGGGGGACACAGAGGAGTTCTGGGGTTCTTGGGCTGTGGGTTAGGGTGAGAGGCATCAGAAAAGGCAGATTTGGGGGGAGTATCAGGGGTTAAGGGGGTTAATGGGGAGATTTGGGGGGTCCCAGGGAGGGACAGAGATCCGGATCCATCCCTGCTGACCCCTCCTGGGGATCAATGGGGAGATTTGGGGGGTCCCGGGGAGGGACAGAGCCCCTGGATCCATCCCTCCCCCCCTCCCGGCCCCTGACCCCCGGCTGTGGGCTCCACCCCCCCAAATCCCCTCCGAACCCCCCAAAGCCCGGCTGGGGCGCGCGGCCGCCGCAGCCTCTGTCCCCACAGCCCCTGTGAGGTGAACTAAATCCATCCTAATTAGCGCTGATTTGCATGGGGAAATGAAAATTAATCTAGCTTGGCTTTATTGGAATTAGTGATCGCAGTTGGGCACAGCAGGCGGTGGCAGAGGTTTGGGGGGGCTGAGGGGCTCCCCCTGCCCCCCTCCAGCCCGGGCTGGGGTCCCTCGGTGGTGCCAAAATGTGGGGGGCACCCCCGGGGTGGGCTCAGGTGTTGGGGTGCCCCCCACGGCACAGCCCCGAGCCCCTCAGAGCCCCCCTCAGATTTGGGGTGTGGGCAGAGCCTGGCTGCACCCCAAACCCGGGGGCACCCCGGGGGGATTGGGGGGCTCAGCTCCAGGCGGGCCAGACTTGTTTTGGGGTGTGGGACGCCGGGGGGTCACATCTGGGGCGGGGGGTGCCATCTGCACCCCCGGATTGCCGTGTGCACCCCTGCCAGCCTGTTCCTGGGCATCTCCACGCGTGTGTGCCCACTCGGTGCCCCGTGTGTGCCACTCCGGAGGTGTGTGTGCCCACTCTGGCCCCGGTGCCCCCGCAGCCCCAAAGCGGCCGCGTCCCTCCGGGCTGGGGTGTCCAGGGCACCTCGGGGCACATCTGGGTGTGTGCCCCATGCCCCATCACCACCTCGGGGCACATCTGGCTGTCCCCCCTGCCCCATCACCATCTCAGGGCACATCTGGCTGTGTCCCCTGCCCCATAACCACCCCGGGGCACATCTGGCTGTGTCCCCCATCACCACCCCAGGGCACATCTGGCTGTGTCCCCTATCCCATCGCCATCTCAGGGGCACATCTGGCTGTGTCCCCCATGCCCCATCACCCCCCCGGGGCACATCTGGCTGTGTCCCCCTATGCCCCATCACCACCTCGGGGCACATCTGGCTGTGTCCCCCTATGCCCCATCACCACCTCAGGGCACATCTGGCTG